AATACCCTAGACCGCAAAACCCTAAACCCTGACACCCTAAACCCCAAACCCTAAACCCTAAAACCATAGACAGCAAAACCCCAAACCCTAAACCCCTAAACCCTAAACCCCTAAACCCCTAAACCCCTATAGATCCCTTATGGGAGTCCTTAGACTTCCCTGAGCCCGGTCCTCCAAACCCGACACCCCCAAGCCCGAAAGCCGACAGTTCGGGGGTCATCACAGGAATCTATAGGCTTTCCTTAAAAGGGTTTAGGGTTTAGGGTTTAGGGTTTAGGGTTTAGGGTTTAGGGTTTAGGGTTTAGGCTTCTTCACAGGGATCCCCCGGGTTCCCTCTAAAGGGTTTAGTGTTTAGGGTTTATGGTTTAGGGTTTAGGGTTTAGGGTTTAGGGTTCCTTGAAAGGGTCTGGGGTTTATAAAGGGCACTATAGGCTTCCATAATGGGGTCCCCTCTCTGGAGCCTCCAAAGTCATCCTGGGGCTTCGGGGTTTAGAGTGCAGGGGTTTGGGGTTCAGGGTTTAGGGTTTAGGGTTCAGGGTTCAGGGTTTAGGGTTTAGGGTTTAGGGGTTTTTGGGTTTGGAGTTCAGCGGTTTCGGTTTTTTTTTTTTAGTGGGGTTTCGGGGGTAGTAGGGTCTAGAGTTCAGGGTTCAGGGTCTAAGGTTTAGGACCAGTGACTATCGGATAGCCCCAAAATGTGCAAAGTGGTTGTTATCAGTCTAAGCCTTAAACCCTATATATATATATATACACACCTATATATCAAAAAAAGGTATCCATATATGTATATATATATATATATAATATGCCCAAGGAACCACCGGGCTTTTTAGGCAGGTGCAACCTCAAGCCCTGAAGCCCTCAATCCTCCCCTATAAACCCCTACAAACCTTGTAAACCTTATAAACCCTATAAATTCTCTAAACCCTAATAAACCCTAAACCCTAAACTCCTAAACCCTAAGCCTTAAGCTGCAACAAACCGCCTCCCTGAGGCCCTGGCTTTTGCCCTGGCGGAAGAGGCGACGATCGCCCGAGCGGCGAGGGCCCACCTCGTCGAAGCAAACGAGTCGCTGAGGCTCCCGGGTTGCCCTTAAAGGGTGGTATAGGGGGTTAGGATTTAGGGTTAGGATTTAGGGTTAGGGTTTAGGGTTTCGG